ACTTAGTTACTTGTGTGATCAGGAACTCCTTTTTTTGTGTGATAAGTTTAATAGGGAAATAATAAACTTTTCTGCAGAACTGTGATGGATACTAACCTGATTTTCGAAATTTGCAGATTAAGAGTTTTTTCCTTCATAATTTTAGTAGTAGTGGAAGTGAGAAATAAGTCTGTTTAACTCTATATTGGCAACAGTTACCCCCTATGTTTTCTTCACATATTTGCTTAATGTCACCCATGTTACACTGAAATAACCTTCAAAGGTGACCCAGACTGAAAGATCCAGACTCAGTGTGCAAGACTGACATGATGATGTCACCCCCCTCCTCCTCAGATGTCCTGTGCTGAGTGGAGTGGGTCAGGTAATACAAACTGGGGCAGAAGTAAGGGATGGGATGTTTTAGGTGCTGTATAAAATCTGCACTATTGTTTGTGCCTACAGGAACCAGATCTGTCCTTTCAATAGTGATGGAAATCCCTGGACTTCGGCCATTTGAATAAATAAAACTGAGCCAGATGTGGTTCACTGTCTTGTGTCCTGGATGTACTTAATCCATAAACACAGCACTTGGTCTGCAGGAGACACCAGGGACAGGAGTGATGGAGATCAGAAGGAGAAGATGAAGAGCATTCCTGGATGGACGTGGGAAGGGAAAGATCTGCACTGCAGCCTGCCCAGGCAGAGCTGCTGTAGAGCCCTGCAGAGGCAGCACTGGCAGTGCTGTGCAGGGTTTGGTGGAGTCTCAGGAGGAACTGAGTTCTGATGAGGTGGCACCAGCTTTGTGCCAGCGGGGCCTCGTTACCCTCCTGCCACCAGGCACCACAGACTCTGCTATGTGAGGAGCTCTTGGGCCTGCAGGATCTCCAGAGTGTTGAATCCAGTAACTTCTGAAATCATTCCTGCTGGTGGGTGTAACTGAGCTTGTGGAAGCAGAAAGGTTGCAAGAAATCACCGAGTTCTGGGAACTAAAAGGTTTTTGAATATCATTGCATGAGTACAGTTCTCCCCATCTGTTTCTGGTCTCTCTTTCTTTTCCTAGAACAATTGTAACAGAAGCATTTTATTTATGGAAGCATTTAGCAGGAGGTTCCCTGAAGTATGAATGATTTCATTGAAATCACTAGGACAAAAGGCAGGTGTTCCATGGGTTGCACCAGGACACCCATTCTGAGTTAGCAGCTCACTGGGAGTGAGAATCAGCTTGCAGTGCCTACATGAAAATTATACTTGGTTCTGCTAACACCATGAAAATCTACTCTGAGTCCTGGAATCAGTTTTGACCTTTCACTTGGCCATCAAAATCCCTTTTCTGTTTTGTTTCTCATGGCTGCATGCAGTAATTACAGAGTCACATTTCCATCTCTTCCTTCTCCCCACCCCACTCTCTCCAATAAGGAACCATTTGTACAACTTGAAGATGATTGGTTTTTGAGAATGTTGCCAATATAATCTAAAAATCCATTGAATTTCACTGCAGTCAGAAAGTTGTGCATCCTCTTTTGTATCCAAATCCTCAGAGCCTTAGGGGGAAAAGTCTTTGAAGTGAAATGTAAAAAGAATGTTAATGGTTTATGCAGAAAGACAGAATTTGGAGGGGATGAGAAAGGAGAGAGAGAAACAAGTATGATGTGCTTTTTGCAATTGCACTGATGGCAAATGTGGCACATAAATTCTGTCTTTCCTGATCACCTTTGTATCACCCCACTGGTTTCAGTGTCTTGGGTTGTCTCCAGGTGCTGCCACAGTGTTGGTGCTGTGGAGCACTTGGATTCCTACCCAGTGTGCACATGGAGATGTGTAGGTGTAAAATCTTGCCCAGCTGTACAAACCAAAGCCTTGTGAGACAGTGAATCCTCCTGACAAATCCTGAGTTTTTCAGAAAAGTCTCCTTCTTTCCTTCCATGGTGGGCTGTTTCTGATAACTGCCTTGTGTCTAAATGTTTTCATGCTCAGCTAGTCCAGCTTTCCTTTTACCTTGTTTGTATTTAAAGAATTTCTGATTTTTTACTTCTCTTAAATAGACTGGGAAAAATTGACATTTCTGTAGTTTCTGTGAGAAAGGGGTTTTATTTTCTGTTCTGCTAGTTGTTGGTTCTGCTCTGCAGTGCTTCATCATCTGTCATTCCTGGAGGGAGAGGGGCTGATCAACTCCCTGTCCCTGTTAATGGGAATGGGGAATGCTTTGCTTTCCTGGTAATGTTGGTGCCATATCACCAGGACAGGGTATTGATTTGCTTGACTGCTGGTGTGTGATGCATGACAGAAAGAGAAATGGAACTTTGTGAACGTGGAGGAAATGGTGCTGCTGCTGATACAGAACTGACTGAGGGAACAGCAATCAATCAGATTCTCTCTGCTGGTACCAGTGCTACCTTCAATTTAATATATAGGAAACCAACAGTTGTTTCACAGTTTAAATCAAAGAGTGTCCTGTGCTTAACTCAGATTCTTACAAAAATGACTTGGAGAATTTTTGGGTTTAGTATGCTCTGCTTTGTACCTTACCAACATGTGATCTGATAATTTAGAAATATTGAGCTGACATTCACTAATTCTTTTTTCTTGTCAAAGAGCCACAGGTTATTTTTTCTAGATTGCTTATTACTATTTTAAATCGGTTGGTCTTTAAATAATTTTAACTTGTAAATAGAGTTGGTTTTAGTCTCAAATATCTGCAGAAGGAGTTTATCATAGCCACAGGTATTTGGACTTCAATATCTGTAAAACACCTACTAGAGACATGAACAGGCCCATTCTCTCTTCTGGCAGATGTTTTGCAGGTATTAGACTTATATCCAGTTATCTTTGGGTACTTCAGCAGTACACAATAGCATTCATGTGTAGATGACTGTAATGTTCTTTTCTCTCCTTCTCCACCTTATGAAATGAATGGGATAATTTATCCTTTTTGGAAAGAGAGAGAAGTGTTTTAGTGAAAGCTTAAAGAGACTTCCTGAAATTCCTGGATTGATCCCTGCTCCCAAGTCTTGTCACTCAGGGTGGTCTCAGCTCAGCCTTTGCCCCGTGGAAGCCCCTGAGCAGCAGGAATTCTGCACAGGAATTCTGCACAGGAATTCTGCACAGCTGCTCCCAAAGCCCCCAGAGCTGCAGTTTGGAATCTTTGGCTGGAGTTTCAAGGGAGTTCATTTCTGCTCAGGAGGTGGTTGGGGATATGTGCTTGGTATTCAGGCTGTGGGAGTGCAGGGTGAGCTGAACCACGTCTGCCTGGGAGAGGTTGGTGCTGCAGCCCTTGGCAGTCCTGGAGTTCTCCCTGTGAACCCTGGGATGATCAGACCAAGGCCAAACCTTCCCAGGCAGTTGGACAAAATAGTTCTATGAGCAGATGTTCCAAATAATACAGTAAACTAAAGAGCCATTTGGGCTTTTTATAAACATATTTTCTCTTACATAGAAAAATGGCTTTTTCCTTTCTGAAATTTATTTTAGCATTTGTTTTTTCAGAAATAAAAGATTGATTTATTAGTTGGGAAGTCTGTCAGTTAGATTACCTCAAAAATAAATGAATTACCTTTATTAATCCCACCAAGTTCAGTAAATGGTATTAGAATTTGGAACTTGCTGTTGGAGGGCAAGGTAGATTTCAGGTAGAATATCAGCAAAACTTGGCCATATCACAAAGAGTGAACCCTTACAACAAGGTAATATTATTCTCCCTAAACTCTCTAAGGATCTTCTTTTATACTTTTCATAACATTCAGTGCAGTAAGTTGCTTTTACAACTCAAGATCAACCAATTTAATCATTGTCCTTTATTTTCGATTTTATTTTTCTCTCTGAGAGCCCAGAGCGAGACTTGACAAATGTAAAGTATTGATTGACAAGGAAACAGGAGGGAGCTGTCTGCCTGTTCTCTGAAGGTAGACCTGTGAGCAGGCAGGTGAAAGGTGCCACGACAAGCTGAGGGATGTCAGGTCTGCAGAGTCTGCACGTCCCTCCCACCACAGCACCTGGAAAAATGAGCCCCGAAGTGACTGCACTGAGTGCAGCGTTTGTGCTTCACAGTCAGGGCACAAACGTCCTCCCCTCAGCCATCCTGTGAATGGGGCTGTGCTGCCAGGAGCACAGTCATTAGTGAGCTCCTGGGTTTGCAACTGATTTATTTCTGATGTCTGTCCACCCGCTCTGGAGTGTGCAAGCTGGCTCAGCTGCCAGCTGGTCTGGCAGACCCAGATTCCTATTTCATGCCTGTTTGTGACTGTGTGGACGTGTGTTCTGGGGTGTTCTTTGGGTGGGGGGATTTTTTGGTTGGTGGTTTCTTGTGGGTGTTTTTTACCAGTGATGGGTGTTGCTGCCTCTGCTCCAGTTGCTTCTTCCAAGGCCTCTTCCAAGCCTCCCTGAACATGGCTGTCTTTTATTGCATTCAGGCCATTTTAGAAAAAGGATTATGCTGTTTTTACAAGTAAAAACTAAATGGGTTTGAACTGGAGTTTGTCCTCTTCATTTACAGTCTAGTTACAAACACAGAGCACAAAGAGCCAGCTGTATGTGGAATTATCACCTGTGTTACTCTCACTGTCCTCTCTCCTGTACTGACCATGGTCCACCAGGCAGAAAAGCATCTCTTTCAGGGCACCAGGAGGAAATGATTCTGCTGCCAGTGCCCAGGGACAGAAATTGCAGCAAACTCCTGCTATTTTATCCAGCCTTGAGATCAGAAGTTATTTTAAACTGAATGTACATTGCTATCTAGAGATGGGATGTGTGTAGTCTTAATTTGGTTTTAAAGGTTTGTTTTACTGATATATTCATGTAATATATCTTAAAAAAAATACAAACCCAACAAATATTATAATACACTAAGATTACCTTTTGAAATTATACGTACAATGACCTGTGTCTGTATGTTTTTTACATATTGTGTTATAAATGGTTTGATTTTCAAAATATATTTGAAGTTATGCTTTGAGTGAATTGTCTGGACTATTCTCTGTGGTGTCAGAAGAGCTGTGGATGTTAATTGTCTGCTCCTGTTTTTGTAGATGGCTACACCACAGATGACATTGAGTTTTACTGGCGTGGGGGTGATAATGCTGTCACAGGAGTGACCAAGATTGAGCTGCCCCAGTTCTCCATTGTAGACTACAAGCTTATCACCAAGAATGTTGTTTTCTCTACAGGTTCGTGGAGGGGAAGCTAAAAGGGGAATTGGCTGGGAAGACTTTTAGAAATGGGTTAATTCACAATGTTCAGTTCAGGATCTGAGCAATAATTTTAGAAACAGGAGTAAATGAGAGCAGCAGCTGTGAATTTTGGAAAGGGAAGGTTTTTACAGCTCTCTGGTGTCCATTCCCCTCTGCAGAGGGACAGTCATCTGTCATGTTGAGGCTCATCAGATGAGCTGTATTTTCTGTTTTCCTGTGACATCTGATTAAGCCACTTACACACCTCAGTGTATCAGTGTGGCCATAAACCCAACCAGTCACAAACCAGCCTGCAGGAAATTAGGAACCTTTTCCTCCCTGTTTCTGGATGTTCCTTTTACCAAGCTGTGGATGTATTGGATAATTATTTTGTCATCAGTGTAAAACCTCTAAAGTCCTTGTTCCACAGGATTTTCGGTTTAGCCTATTCTAGCAAAGTGTATGAGTTTTTGAAGGTTGAAAAGATGCTGTCTGAGGAGAAGGAGAAAATCAAATTGGACCTTAAATTGTTCAAGAGAGGCAAGAGTTGAGTTGGGCTGTTACTTTGTGATGTTCTCTACCCACTTGGGAAACCTGTAAGTGTGTTTGAAAAATTATCTTCAAAACTCAGATATGGGTAGAAATCATCTTTGAAGGGACTGTAGAAAGATGGTGCATCCCAAATTCTTCCAAACCAAGCAGAAATGGGACTTGAATAATGATTTCTAGGCATCCATTTCAACAAGTGTTTCATCCAGTAAATTACTTGTGATATCCAGAGACAAAAGACAGGTGTTGAATTTCTGGGAGAGAATGAGGGTTCCCCTGAAGTGGGCACACCACAGCCTGCCAGGAAACAGGCATTTCTGTGCTCTCTTGCTCTGACATGTGTTTGGGCTGTTGATTCTTGGACATTGTGATACCAGCAGAGATGCACCCAGAGCATCCTTGTACCCTTACAATAAAAGATGCTTTAATCCTGGTTCTTGCTAGAAATTCTGCAGCTGATTATCCTGGATCTTTCAGCTCTGAGTGTACTCTATGTTGCATGAAATAATAAAACCAGAATGACAGGAAAATGATTTCAGGCTTTATACAAGTAAATTATGGCCATGCCAAATATTCTCTTTTAGGTGCCTACCCGAGGCTGTCTCTCAGCTTTAAACTTAAGAGAAACATTGGCTACTTCATTCTGCAGACCTACATGCCTTCTATTCTGATCACTATCCTCTCCTGGGTTTCCTTCTGGATTAATTATGATGCTTCAGCTGCAAGAGTTGCTTTAGGTAGGCCTGTTTACACCTCTCCTGCAGTGTGCATTAGCTGAGTGTTTTCTGGCTTCTGGCTTAGTGGATAGTGCATGAGCTGAAAAAAAATTCCGTTAGATATTTTATGTCTGGCTTGTTAAACTTTGTATTGTTTGAATCAGCATTTAAATCATCACAATTTAAATAAAAATGAAAGGGATTTAGTGTCTGAATGAGCTAACTGTGTAATCATTGTAACCAGAATTAGCCTGTCTCGACATTTTCTGTTCTTTTATTGCTTGTTTGTCTCCAAAGAGACTGCACCTAGTTTGCTTTTGCCCATGGCAGGCCAGAACACACATTCAGCTCTGTGTTATGGGTTATAAATTGCTTTTCCTTTCAGGTATGAATTAAATAAGGTTTTGCTAGGCTTCTGTAGCTCACTTGTCCTTGAGGGATGAAGCTGCACCTCAATTACTGTGTCCAGTTCTGGGCCCCTCAGAATTGACTTCAGGAAGGACATTGAGGGGCTGGAGCAGGTCCAGAGGAGGGAACAGAGCTGGGCTCAATGACCTTAAAGGTCTTTTCCAGCCTAATGATTCTATGATTCTATGGGGTTTTTTTCCTTACTGTTACCTTACATTCCAAATTTGTTCCCCTAATTAATCTCTCAAGTAACTTGTATAGCTAAAACAAGTAAACCCCCATAAAACATACTATTGAGAATCTGACATTTAACCTTAGAGAATAGTCTGAGCTTTACCAGCCTTTCTGTGTGACATTTTCCCTTAAGAGTTTGAGACTGCAGATATCCTGAAAGTGCCTGAGTAAAGCAAGATAACAGTAACTGCAGCCTGGTAATTTATAGCTGAGACTCGTTCCAGAAGGTGTCTGGAACCCTGTTGCAGAGGCCACCAGATTTGTCAGGCCCAACTGGCCCTTAGTGAAGTTGGAATTGTTCAGCCTGGAGCAGGGAAGGTTCCAGGGAGATCTTAGAGCACCTTCCAGTGCCTCAGGGGGCTGCAAGAGAGCTGGAGAGGGACTTTTTACAAGGGCCTGGAGCAACAGGACAAGAGAGAATGGCTTTAAACTGACAGAGGGCAGGGTTGGATCAGATCTTAGGAAGAAATTCTTCTTCCCTGTGAGGGTGGTGAGACACTGGAACACATTGCCTGGAGTTCTGGCTGCCCCATCCCTGGAACTGTTCAAGCCAGGGTAGATGGAGTAAGGAGCAACCTGATCTAGTGGAAGGCTGCCTGCCCATGGCAGGGGGGTTGGAACGAGATGGTTTTTAAGGTCCCTTCCAACCCAAACCTTTCTAGGATTCTGTGAATAAGGACAGAGTTTGGAGATGTCTTTTTTCCACCAGGGGAAAAAAAAAAAAGTAATGTTTTTCAACTCTAGCGTTTGAATATTGTGAACTATGCTAGGAAATTAAAATCATTTCACTCACTACACTTGTCACTTCTTCTTTCCAGGAATCACAACCGTGCTCACAATGACAACCATTAACACCCATCTCCGAGAGACTCTTCCCAAAATTCCCTATGTGAAAGCCATCGACATGTACCTCATGGGCTGTTTTGTGTTTGTGTTCATGGCCCTGCTGGAATATGCCCTGGTGAACTACATCTTCTTTGGCAGAGGCCCCCAGAGGCAGAAGAAGGCGGCGGAAAAAGCCGCCAGTGCCAACAACGAGAAGCTGCGGATGGACGTCAACAAGGTAACTGAGCTGGGAGGGCTGGGAGCATCTCCCAGCAGGGCAGGTCCCACTGCTCCAGGCAGGGTAAAGTGTCCTTTCTGGAGAAACCCAGTGCAGTTGTGGGACCTTGGCCTGGCTCTGCAGAGCAGTGGCTTCAGCCACCTCGCAGGGACCGCTGCCCTCTGGCCTGGAAGGCTCAGGGACTTGTTTCTGAAGCTTTACTGGGAGGTGGTTTCTTAGTCAGGATGGAGAGTTAAATACCTATAATCTGTTTCCAAAGGAAAAAAATCCAAAATGATGGCTGTAGCTGATATTTTAGTAAGAGCTGTATGGAACGTTGGAACTAAAACCTAAATTTAACCTACTTTCATAAATCTTTCAGAGGAGCTGGATAAGAAATATTTGCTGCAGAAGTGTTTAAAGCTTGACAAGTTTGCTTTTTTTCAACATATAATGGCCCAGGATACTATTGACTAAATGAGGAACTGCTCAGAAATAAAGCATCAATGTGCTGTGTACTTAATTTTGAATCTAAAAATGGTCTCTCAGGGAGGGAGAATTGAGGCAGAAAAGACATTTGCCAAGATACACACTTTGGGAAAAGAATCCATTATGCTTAATGAAAATTGGGCACTTATCATAAAGCATTTGTAATTTGTCACTCTGACCATTTTGGATAAGTTTCACACAGTGGCAAATCTGGGCTGAATGCAAAAATGTACTCAGTGTGAAATGTAGAACCTTTCACACACATGCAAAATTGGAAAGTTAAATAAAGTTAAATTATCTTTGAGGGGGGTTTTGTTAGTTTGGGGTTTTTTTGGTTTTTTGTTTTGTTGGGGGTTTTTTGTCAAGGGAAGCTTTTTGAATTTGTGATTCAGCATGATACTCCAAGGAGAAAAAACTCAAAAGAATTAAAAAGCAAAACCAAATTAGAAAAAAACCAAGGGATTATTTGTGAGTTGGAAACATAAGTTTCATACAGCTTTGGAATGGAATTTCTCATGTTTGTTCAGAACTTCTACACTTCTACACACATCGTGTGCCTGATGACAGAACATTTTGTTCTGTGTTTGCTGCAATAACAAAAAACCATCACATATCGATAGAACAAAACAGTTTTGTGGGTTATAGTTTGTAGCCTTTTAAGATGGGGAGTTATGTTGCCATGGCTCAGATCTCACCCATTCATTAGGTTTTTTTTTAATTTTTAATTTGAAAGAAACATGTTTTAATGAATGGAGGTAAATGGATAATGATGAGATTAATTTTGATGTTATGTTAACATAGATCATCTTTTACCTCCATAAAGTTCATCTTTTTCTTTCTATTGGTGATTTTTCAGCAATGAAAAAACAAAGCTGTGAGGTTTTATTTAATTTGTCAAGTTGTATTGGGTTTTTTTATTCAATTTCCCTTTCATTTCAGTTAAACAATCAGTGCTGTGAACTACCCTGTAAGCAATTTCGTAAGACTAGATCTGCATTTAGCTGAAGTCTTTCCTCCAGTATCAGTGCAAAGTGAAGGTCCATGGGTGTCAGAGTGCCACCACTTGCTGAGGTGTATTTTTGTACACACTTTCACTTGTATATTTTTGATATTCTTATTTATACAATAGATCTTTCTGCTATAATAGCCCCAGCCTAGTGGCAAATGGCTGACCATGAAGTAGAATATGAAAGCACTAACCAGTGTGGGAACCCAGTGCAGTGAGCAGAGCAATTAATTCCAATAACTGTTGTGGGAATTTGCCTACAGGATTGACACAAAGTACTCTGGGAACAACTTTATTTAGATTTTCTTTGTACTGAGCCTTTTACTTCATATCCTAGGCCAGCCTGGTTCACAGGGTCTGGCAGTTCTGCCCTGGTACCCAGATCCCCTCTGACCTCAGAGTCAGGTTTGCAGCCCTTTGAGCAGTGACAGGAGAGAGGAGAGGCCACGTCCTGCTGCTCTGGGAGAGAAGAGGAGCCAACAGCTGCTCTTGTGTCTGGCCAACAGCAAGAAATCAGATTCATATCTAATGGACCTGAATATTTTGTCTATTAAGGGGAGCAAAATATTATATAATTATTTTCATGTATAAGAATTAGAAATGGGCCTGAACTGCTGAATTTAGTTCAGATGCAGTTATCCATAAAAGCCAAAGTCTTTTAGAAATGGGACCAAATGAACACTCCACCTGTAATTAGGATCCAATAGTGAAGAACTAATTTTGCAAGATATAAGTGTTCTTTTGTGGTTCCACTTGAATAACTATATGCAATATTATAAATTCATTATAAATTCATTAGAATCAGATACTCTGTGAGAAAGATTAATGCTATGAGTAATAAACTTCAAAAGGTGAGGATGAAAACTTGTACACAGTTCTGTCCCTGCAGGCAGATTCAGCACAGACATTGTAAAACAGGGGCATAAATAGTTACTGGAAGTGCTGCTCGTGGTGCAGCATCTTTGTTTATTCATTATAGAGCAGAAAATTTGTAAGAGATTTCTTCAAATTGTAACACTCTTGTTTGGTAACAGCCTCTTACAACTTCTCAATCCACACAAGGTGGTGAGAGGAGAAGTGCTGTTCAGTCCTTTCATCTGCAACAACTTGCTAAATCAGGGGAGAAGTTAATCCATGTTCCCTTCGTGGTGTTGGATTCTCTGCCATGGAGAGGTTCCAGGGCATTGGTGGTGTCTGGTTTTGCTTGGTGGTATCAGAAGGTGCTGGAGAGACTATGAAGCAGTGCAGAAGCACAAGAGAAGCTGGTTTTTCAGGACTGTGGTATCTGCTGGATCCACTGGAATCCCTTGGAGATTTGGTGACTCAGGGGGGGAATGTCCTGGCTTTCCATCAGGGTGGCTGCAGAGCTTCCCCATGGCTATCCAGTGGGAAACTGTGGCCAAATCCTTCTTCAGATTTCATATCATATTCATATCAAATGCCAAATATGGGAGTCTGGGGTTTGTTCTGTTTTGGTTTTTTTTTTAAATCATAGACTAGTTTACGTTGGAAGGGACCTTTAAAGGTCACCCACTCCAACCCCCTGCAATGAGCAGGGACATCTTCAGGTAGATCAGGTTGCTCAGAGCACTGTCCAGCCTGACCTCCAATGTTTTCCAGGGATGGGGCATCCACCACCTCTCTGGGCAACCTGTGCCAGTGTTTCATCACTCTCATTGTAAAAAAATTATTCTTATATCTAGTCTGAGTCATCACAGCAGATTGTAACTTCATGTACTCCCTGATTTTCAAAGATTGTTGGACCTGTTTGGGGTAAGGGAAAGGAAGAGAAGGAATTGGGCTTCTGTCTTGATTTGCTTCTTGGATACTGAAACCTGAGTAATAAAATCATGGAGAAATTTAAAGAACATAAAACTCCAGGAAGATTCAGACTCAATTACCAGCAGATATGCTACCACAGACTTGTTAAATCATATTGGACTTGCTTAATTTTCTTTGCAGGGAGTTCAGAATAAAATGGCTTGAATATCATCATTCCACCCATGGAACCTCTCAAGCTGCATCCAGCAGTTTGTTCCCTTAGTCTGAAGTCACCATCTTTTGCCTTTGCCAAGGCTAATTTTTCTCTCTGTAAACAGTGGTATTGTTGTTTACAGATAAATCACTGGCTTTCTTCTCACTCTAGACAGCCTTCCTTCACTGGAGAAACCATTCACACCATTTCCTCACCTCTCTTTTCAAGTTTATTATCTTATGTTATGTCTTCAAACGCCTTTATTGCCTCCATAGTTTCAAGTTTCTTAATCTCTTCTGTTCTGAGTGGCAGAGTTCTGCAAGAGTGAATAAGGGTAGGCAAACTGGGAGGGTTTTGTTTCTGCTTGAAGGCCCAGTGTGCCATAAAGGAGAGTGTGTGTACTCTGAGTATATATTCTAAGCCATTGTTATCCCCTTTTTATTCCCTGGACTTCTGTGTTTTAAGTAAGAATGTTGATGGTCATCAGCAACCTTTTCATCCTTTGTAGGCACATTTCATTCTATCTTTTCTTTAGGCTCAGGGCACTAATCTAATATATTGTCTGTGCTTCCTCAAGATGATTAACAGATATGTGAAATATAGGGCCAAATTCCAGCCTCTGGCTTCCCAGTATCCTTCAGCTGACTGTCCTCCTGTGGATGACTGCACTTCCCAGAAGTGGCATTGTGTTTTTCATGTGTAAATACCTCTGGAATGTGGTTTGAGTTGGATGCAGTTGCAGTAACCATTGAATCCTACATGTTTCCAGCCTGGCTCAGAGCACAGGGAGTGCTGCAAGCGCACAGGGACGTACCTGCAGTACCTGGTAACATAAGTTACAGATAAAACTACCTCTGATTTTGCAATCATGCTGCTCTTATTGTGAGCAGTAATAAAGCAAATTTCCTGTGGAAAAGAGGGGAAAAATGTCAGTGTGTTATGCAACAATTCATAAAACTGTTTATACAGATTTATTCAGTCATTTTTTTTTAAGAAATGTGAAGTGACATTGCTAACCTCTGCATGTTTAGATAAGGTTTCTTTTCTGAACACAAATACTTTTTTAAATATACTGAATGTATTTTTAAAACAATGAGTAATTCTTTACTCAGTGGCCTTTGTGTTAGTTGAGGTGTTCAGGCAGGAGGCAGTGACAGGGCATTGCTGCTGCACAGTGCAAGTCACAAACGTGGGAAGTTGTCAGACTAATGACATTTTCCTATCCAAAATTTGGATACCAAGTAAAGAACATGGAACTTCAACATGATAATTAGATTAAACAGCATATTAATAGATTTGAATACAATAAAATTGTACTTGAAAAATTAATGTAGGGCTTAGGGAGCTAAGAATGTTTAAACAAATACAGGTTTCTTTGCAGTTCATTGCCCTACAATCCAGACTGTTGTTATATCTGGATTAGCACAGGGTTGCTGAAGGACTTGAGATGCAAGGAAATAGCAAACAGGAGCTTAACCTGCCCTTAGTTCTCTTCACTTGGTATCTTTCTTCTCCTTCAAGTTGTCTCAACTGCTGAATTTTTTTCCCTGC